AGTTGACAATGGAGGGAATGCCGGTGATCATACTATGCACTATGTGCTAAGTAAGTATGTACTTGGTGCGTTGCGGTCTCTGCTCCGTAGTAGTCCGTATATAGAAGAAACCCACGGGGAAGGGCCGGCTCGGCCAGCGCCAAAAGGGAAAAAGCGAGAAAATCTTAATGCGAGACGAACCAGGATCGAGCCATGAATCAACCATGGACGGATGGGTCCCCAATCAACTTAGCAAAATGACTTCCGGGCGGGATGCGGACCGTCTCCCACACTTAGTTGAATAAAGGAAAGTTTGCTCGGGGGCCACTAACGCACAATCTCGCCGTGGGCCTAGTGGTTGCTGCCCGCGTTCTCAGGCACGACAGCGTCAGGCAGCGTTACCAACACTCTGGTTGAAGGATTTGAAGCTTCGGGCGTGGCTCCCTTCCAACCCTCGTCCGTAGCGCCCGAAGCAGGCAAACCAGAGCTGGTCCCAACCCTCCATGGCTCAGGGTCGCTAACCACGGCATTGCGTGCAGCCGCTCCGAGGTGGATCATTTGCTGAGGGTGCTCCATCCTGCCCTCCAGCACACCACCAGGGTGGTTAGCCCCCCCCCATCGCCCGGCGTTGCTGGGGGGGCGTGTACCTCCTCCGTCCTGGAGGAAGGATCGTGGTCGGAGATTTGTCGTGCTGCTGGGTTGGCGATGAGAACATCATTCAGATTATGCTTCCCCCACGGAAGTAAGTATGCCGCGTCGGAAAACCAACCTTGAACCTCAGGTCGGTACCTAGGTACGTGGGTGCTAAGAGAGGCCCTCCTCCGTACTATAGATAGAAAGTCTCTCCCACCCTTTTTATTCCCCTGGCGAGGTACGGAGTAAGTATTGTCACACGAAGCACCGCCTGGCTGGGTACTCTGGGAGTACCCAGCCAGGCCAGCCTCCGCCAGCCTTTTTACTACCTCCTTCTAAGGGAAAGGCTGGCTCGGGCTAGGTTACATTGCCCTAGTCCTTCCTCCTGCCTGGCCTGCCTGCCTATCGATAGTCACTGCCAACACCTCCGGGCCCGGGCTGTCTGAGCCATAAAACTTAATCATCCACCGATGCCATCTGGATCAGCGTGGGCGCTTGATCCCGACTGACCTGTGACCCCGAACTGTTGGACAGCGATATTCGAGGTCAGTTATCAGCAGGGGGGGCAGGGGGGCCTCCTGTGGACGAAGAGGAAAAAGCAAAGAAGGGCAGTCGAAACTCGAAGGGGCAGGATGGGGGAGGATGACCTGGAAACGCCATGCCGGACACACACTAGGGCGACGCATGTAGTATGTGCTCCGTACGGACGGTATGCACGTCGTCCCCTCCTGGGGCGCCGGACAAAACATGTGTCCCCCATCGCAGCCCATGGTCATCCGCCCGCTTGGCGCCGTAGCAGGCCGGCGCCTGGTCTAATGCTGGCCGCGGCCTTGTGACTTATCCGGCCATGTTGATCGTTTCACCGCTTCCCAGACTCTCGGGTCGATGGTCGATGGTGTTGATGCATGCACCAACCCTCGGTGCGCTGGATGTATGTAGTGTACTTTGTTTGTGCCTGGGCAGTGGGCAGAGTGCATCCGCCCAAGCCGTGGGAGCATCCCCGTTCAGCTTTAAACGCACGCACAAGCCACCAATCCACTGGCTGTCCGAGCCCCGGCCCATGAACTGCCCCCTCTCCCCTGCTTTCTCCCATTCTCCCATCCGCCCTCGGGGCCTGCTGGCGTCGCTAAACACTCAGGCGTCAACCCCAGCCAGATGATACCTACTTATGTACTGGGTACTGCACCTACGGATACTTCCAGCATGTCCTTTGCGGCGCTAGTACGTACCCAACCAACCGGCTGCCATGCCCTCCGCACCCTCGATTGGACCACCCTCGACTGAGCAGACAGATTGCCAGATATTAACAGGAAGGAAGATCCAGGATCCTTCTGCGCCGTCGGCCTTCCTTGGGGATCAGCCCCCGGGCAACGCGCCCCCAGTGCTCCCAGGCTTCGGGACAGTACCGTCGTCTTGGTTCTTCTGCTTCCCCTCAAGGATCTGCCGGGGTATATCCTGGTTTTAAATTGTAGGCACCTACTTGCCACTGCTCTTGTTCTGTTCTGGTAAATTACACGACTGGATCCTCCCCCCTCCGTAGAACTGGGCCGTTTTTCCCCTCAGGACTAAACCCTCGCTGCTCCTTTCCGTCACTTGCACCTCCACAGTTAGTAATTAACTAGTTGTATCCACTGTCGACTCGACCGCCAACCCGGATTGCAACGTTCCCATTGGAAATATCAACCGCCCGAGTTACTGCCCTGTTATTTGCCAATCCCTCGACTCTGCTGATGTGTGAGCCAAATGTCGCCTTTCCTTTAACGGCGATTGGGCCTAGTCGCAGTCGACGACCGTGGTAATGCTGCCGCGCAATCGAATCGACTGGCACACCCCTCATCCAGGCTCTCGCGGCCTCCTCGCCAGAGTTTGGTACCATATCACACTTCGCGGATAAGCGCCCTTTCTGCCCAAGGCAGCCCGTCCTGCTCCAGTCTGCCTCGCGGGAGACTTATCCGGCGCGGAGCCTCCGGGGGTCTCGCCGGTGTCCACGGCGTCACCATCGGCGACCCTCACGTCACAGAGTCCTCTAGCCTCGATGCCTCTCCCCCAGTCCGACGAGCACACCAGGCTCGACAGCGCAACATCACCCTCACTTGGGCAGGGGGTAGCATGGAAGTCGCGACGGCAGATCAACGTCATGAACCAAGTTTGGTTTGCAAACCCGATTGACTGACAACTAACCATGCCAGCTCCTTGCTTTCGGCCTGGCTTCGAGTCGACCTTCCCTTCGGCGTCAGGGCTTGGGACGCAGCTAGGCCGGCCAGTTTCACCTGCCACGCCCGACCATTCCAGCGTGACTTGGCGACACCCCCCCCCAAAGACAACCTTCCCCCCCAATCGCGAGAACGGAAAGCCCGGACGCAATCAAATGGTCGACGACGGAGGATCCCCCGACCTTTATACCCTCGTCATCCTTGCGATCCTCTGCTCCTCCCGCACCTGGTATTTTACTATGTACTGGGGAGCAGGGACGGCGAGGGCACTGCGTTAGTCACCCGGGGGAGAACCAATCCGCCAGCATCGCTCTGGGTTGCGTTGGGGCGTAACTAATTGGATTGTGATCATCGATGGGGTCCTGCTGCCGCTTAACCATTAGACTAACTCTGCCTGGACTGCGTCTGGTCATCGCCACTCCGGACCGTGATGCAGAGTGTTTGCGCAGCGCTCCTCCGCGACATCCCAGTGGTATGAGTCCTGGCCTGGCCTGGCCTGGCCTGACCAGCTCACTCTGGAAATTGAAACGAATGTCCCAACTCCCAAGACGCTCCGGATTGCGGCAGTGCACACTGCACAGGTATCTGGCTAATTAAGTGTGTTCGGTCTTGGGGTGATGGGCACCCGAAAGGATTGTGTCAATTCGTCTCCTCTGCCCCCCAGGGCTCCACAGGGCTATAATGCTGCGAGCGACTTTCCCGACCATTGACCAATCCCGTGTCCAAAGCAGCTGGCAACTTAGATTATTGTGGCTACGGTGCACTGCACAGGGCACGGCTATAACGGTCCCTCCTTCTGCCACTTTTGTAATCCAATAATCGGGGTTTAATTGACCACCAGATTTCCCTCGCCGGTGCCATCACCACCCGAGTCATGCGCCCTCTCGTGACGACCCAGCTCCTACCATCCTAGTGCCCCCAGTGCCCCAAGACCCAACCCGGCGGACGTCTGCCGGCTCCTCGGTGAGTCAGGGGTACCTGAGTGCCTCCTACCTATGCGATACGTACAAGGCCCCGGGTTCCCTTCCGCGGCCTCCTAGCGCCAGTTCAGACGGGCCGGGCAGTCAGATCAATGGAGTCGCTTGAAGCATTTCCCGTCGCAAAGCCCGCTAGGTGCACTGTCCCCATGAGACATGTCCACTTTCTCGGGGATCGCAGGTAGGAGGCGTGTCGGTGTCTTTCGAGTTGCGCCATCCCTTGAAAGTCGAATACGTACCAGTATGGTATGTGATATAGGGTGGGGTTGCGCTGGGAGGTATGCCTATTGCCTATAGCATGCTTGCATCCCGCGCAGCAGAGCCAAGAGGTAGCAACAGTTCTAGAAATTCCCGGCCAGCTTCCTCTCTTGATAAGCCAAGACAATGATGATAATCACCATCTATATGTCATCCCACCATCATTCCACCGGGAGGGGGGAGCATCGGTGAACACTGAACAGTAGCCTTTGTCGTACCTTGATTTCGCTGCATGCTCGTTCAGTGATAGGCCTTCATGATGTCAGAGGCGGGGGCGCGATGAAAAACCAGAAGTTTCATACAACCCTGATTGAAACGATTTGATGGCGCAGGGATCCGGACGACTGCAACGGCGGGCATTGGACGCCAGACCGATAAGGCAACAACTTCAGCCGTCGACTTTTCCGTGGGAATCAATCACATTGTACTTACTGACTTGGCTTCCCGCGCATCACACTAGCAGATCCCCTGCTAATCTATGCTATCCAGGGTAGGAGCCGGTGGTAGTCTTTATGCTGGGTATCCGTACATAGTAAAAGGTCGCCCAGCATCCTATGCAGGATGTCGGGTTGGATCGCGAAGGCAGATGAGTGTAAAAGAGATGGACAACGTCGACAGCAGATCTTATCGTGTTATGGTTTAGGTTGAGATTCGGTTCTAAAAGTTAGATTAAAACAAATTAAACCATCGTTTTTACAATATGCAAATCCACGACCTCGATTCAACCAATATATATCCCCCCCCGGTAATTGCATCACCATCTGCACATCACTGCCTACTACTACTACAGATACCAATAATTAATTAATTAAAAAGTGACCGTTCCTGCAGCCTTCCTACACTAAAAGAATCAAGACCAATATACACCACCCCAACCACCAAAATCCGTAGACAAACTAAAAAGTAAAGAGAGCTGAGAAGACCAACAAAAACAGAAAAATAGTCGCGCCCGGGATCGAACCGGGAACCTTCTCGGAGCCTCGAAGACAGAGGATCTGACACGACTGTGAACGAGAAATCATAACCATTAGACCACGCGACTGTGGATGAAATAAAGTTTGAATTTTGCTATCATCAGCCAAAATATAACAAATATCCCTCGAACAAAAGAAGAAAGTTTCTTATCACTATCAGCGGCGCGGCGGTTACGGAGTTTGATTTTTTTTTTCTTGGACTCCGCTCCTCCTTCTTTCACTCTGCTACATACATACATACATACATACGCATACTTGCGCTTTGCGCTGAGCGTTAGTCAACTCATTTTTTTGTATTATTATACTCTATGATAAGGTCAGAGTCTTAAACCTGCTCCCTTTGACTCCAGCTCCCTCCGACGGGGTCGCGCAACATCCTCCCATTCTACCTACCATCCTACCATCCACCCATCCACATCCAATGATTTGATTTGATCCGACCACCACCACCACAACCACCACCAAACTACAAACACACACCCAAACCCAAACCCAAACCCAACCCCCCCAAATGGACGCCCAAGCCTACCTCCTCCGCCACGGCTGGTCCGGCCCCGGCAACCCGCTCAACCCGAACCGCCGACCCGGCACACACGGGGGCCTTGGCCTGACGCGGCCGATCCTAGTTGCGCGGCGACAAGGCAACCACGGGGTGGGCAAGACCACGACCAAGGACCCGACGAATCAGTGGTGGTTGCGCGGGTTCGAGGATGCGCTGAAGGGCGTGGGCGGGGAGAACAGTGCGGCGGGGAAGAGCAGTCGGGCGCCGAATGCGTTGACCAGCGAGCTGTATCGGTTTTTCGTGAGGGGGGAGGTTGTTCCTGGGACGCTGGGGGGAGTTGAGAAGAAGGAGGGGGAGACTGAGGAGAAGAAGAAGGAGACGAAGGAGGAGAGGAGGGCGAGGAAGGAGGAGAGACGCGTGAGGAAGGAGGGGAGACGGGTGGGGAGGGAGGAGAGGAAGAAGAAGAGGGAGGAGAGGGAGGTGAGGAGGGTGGAGAGACGGGAGAAGAAGGAGGCGAAGAAGTTGGCTAAGGAGGAGAAGGTGAAGGCGAAGGCGAAGGGGGAGAAGGAGAAGGAGAAGAGGCCGGAGGATGAGTATCCGACGCCGGAGGAGACGGAGATGGAGGGGGTGGAGTCGAGTGGGTTGGATGAGGTGGAAGTGAAGAAGGAGAAGAAAGATAAGAAGGAGAAGGAAAGCAGGAAGAGGAAGACGCGGGAGACCTCCGAGGAGGACGGGTCGAAGAAGAAGTCGAAAAAGTCCAAGGAGGAGAAGAAATGAGCTTGAGGTTGAGTGGATGTTTTATGTATGTATTGATAGATTTAGACGTATAGATACCCATGGCTTTTGCTGCTTGGTTCGTATTCATGGAATAACACGCGCATTACTCGTTACTTATGTCCTATGTCTTTTTGGCTTGAAATATCTACTTCGACTCCGCGGGCAATTTGCCAGGCTTCCCCGAGATGATCCACGGCCGTCTCTCCCAGAACTCGTCCTTGATGATATCGACATGGTCGATCACCACCTGCGCTTTCCGACGCAGCTTGCGGATCTTGTCCTGCTGTGACCTCGAGGGAATGCCCCCCTGCACCGGCGTCGGTTCTTCTTCCTCCTCTTCTTGCCCTTTGCCAGACTCCGCTTTCGGCTTCACATCCTCCAGTTGATACTGCATCCTGATCAGTATACGCGCACACGACTAAGAAACGCACACTCATACCTGGCGATAAATCACACTGCCCTTCTTGTATATCTCCTCTTCGTTGTTGTAGTTGATTCCGAACCGCTTGAAGAGGATCTCATTCTTGTCGGACGAGATAGTGCCCTGTTCTACCCTTAGTCCCCCTTAACACGAGCCGTAAAACAAAGCAGAATACATACCTTCAACTCCTGCTCCGCATCCGTATTGCTCATCCCGCCCTTCAGGACCATCGTCCAGAAAGTCGTGTTATAAAGATTATTAATATGGCCTGCTGCGCATGAGTAACTAGCTGACAAGTCACCAAGAAGATAAACTTACAATCTACCTGCCTCCAGCTCATATAATCCCGCAGAAGCCTCGAGTTCGGATACATGACCGCCCTGCCGTCAAACGAAGGCAGGCCCGTCGGCTGCAGCGGCATATCGGGGAAATACACGCTCCATAGATAGATATAGTACCCTGTGAAGGTGGACACAATCGTCGTTACGAGCTTGCTATATGGCAGACATATTCAGTTCATACTGGCTCCTGAGATAGCCAAGGGGGGGGGGGGGGGGGAACTCACGCGCTCCGCCGCTCGAAGAGTTGGCAGCTGGGGTGGAAAGCGAAACTGATGTCGAGTCAGGACTGTCTGTCATATGAGTCAGAGGGCAGCATCATACCTGTACTCATCGCTAACGCCGTATGCGATGCACAGGTCGGGGAGTTCTTTCATAACTTCTGCGGCGGCGGCATTCATGAGGTCCAGGGCCCGGCGGTCGTTGGGCTTGACGAAGCCGTAGCGATCGGAAAGTCTATTCGGGGTGTTAGCGATTCCGAATAAACATGGGTCGGTTTTCTTTGACGGAGATGATGGCCATGTAGCTACCCCGAAGTAGATCCCAAGGGGTAGCTGCGCCGGGGATGGTGGAGGGACTGACTTGTGAAAGCCTCTGCCATCGATGCGGACCACAATCCATGTACTGGGGAGTAACAGGTCCGGTTGCTCGAAGGACTTGACGTATTCGTATCTGGGAAGCGTTAGTTGTGTGCTTTTTTTGATGTTTGAATTAAGATGGAGTGTGTACTTAGAGTTGGCCATTTTGATTTACGAACAGGAGGATGGATGTCCTGTCTAGGACTGGTGCGCGGGGGGCACGCGGATCGGGCAGGCGATGAAGAATGAATGTTCTGGTGGGGATGAGGGACGAACCGAACCGACCCTCCTCGCCCAACTCTGGCTCTGCCTTCCACGGCCGCATCCCTCAGCATCAGGCAATCCTATAGCACGATGGGAGTGTTGATTTGGGGATATTAAACATCAATTACGGGCCAGTGAAATTTTTACAGGTACCCAACTGGTGGCCACGAATACTGTCATGCAAGTGAGAATGGATGACGAAGAAAAATCAGGCACACAAAGTGCCAGAAGAATGACTTCTATCGAACTACCTAAGAAATTATAGAGAATGCCTGGGCCACACGAACCCATCGGAACGCCAAAGATGTACAATCCTAAGTACGGATGCTGGAATCTAAAGAAATGTGAAAGAATGTAGACGTATGTTCAAGATGCATGCACCTCCTCGGCCATCTCCTCATCCTCCGCCTCGCTGGCTCGCTCACTAGGGCGCTCGCTCGTCTCGCTGGGGGCCCTGTCGGACTTCCTGGACATGCGGCTGAAGAACCCCAGGCTGCTCCGGGTCGACCGGTCTGCCGAGGGGGCGCTGGATACGGTGCTGTCAATGCTCTTCGCCAGCTGCGCTTCGTGGTGTGCGTCCTCGTCAATGTCGCCTTGCAAGGGGTCCCCTTTCTTGGAGAACAGACCGGACCGGTCCTTCCAGGAACTGAACTTGCTGGAGCTACCCTTCCGAGTGATTTTGCGGAAAATGGACTCTTTCGAGCTGCCATTATCCAGCGAGCCACCGGAGGGCATGCGCTCCAAAGACTCATACGAGTCGCCAGTGAGAATCGATAGAGACCGAGAATCACGGGAAGCACGCGATTCAGAAGGAGAGCCTTCGTCCATGAGGAAGTCGAACGGGCCATCCAGCTCCTTGTCTTTCGTCCGGTCCTTCTCCTTGCTTCTATCCGCTGATCGTATCCCAAAGATCTTGAAAGAGGGAGCAGCAGGGTTCAGCTTCGGAGTGACCGGCCGGTGGGAGGACGATGGCCGTGTCCCGATCGGGGCCTGTAATGGCCGCCCTTGCCGCTCAAAAGAATCCTGGAGGAAATCGGGTTCTCCCGTGAGACTCAGAGGCAGGTGACCAGAGGAGCCGTACTGGGTCGATGGCCGGCGGGACTGGACTCTCGACCAAGTCGACGGGGAGGCCCAATCGAAACCAAGCGGACTCCGGTGACCATGCTTTTCTGCCGACGGCCAACCAAAATGCCGATTGTCCGTAGACGGATGGGGAAGGTGGTTCTCAAAGGAAAAGGTTGATGAGGGCCGTGGCGACAACGAATCCCGACGGACCTTACCCAAGATAGATGCGGGATCGATAGGATCGTGTCTAGGGCTGAATTGGTTGTACCCGGTGCTGAGATCAGAGGTCTCGCCGGACTTGAGCAAGCTGCTTCCACTGCCAAAACCAAATCGACTGGGCGAAAAGATGCTGGAAATGGCGGCGCGACGGGACGGAAGATGGTCGGAGGAGCTATCGGTGGTGGCACCTGTTGTATTGCTTCGAGGGAACAATGACATCGGGTTCGCCCAGTTGCCTGTATAGCTCAGCCGACGGCGCCTAGCCCCGATGGGATCCATCTCATCCACATTACGGGGGAACGACTGACTTTGTCCTGGTTTCAGACTGCCTAGCAGCGGCGGTTCGTCTGCAAGCGTTTTGCCGCGAGGGCGATGGAAGCCAAAGAGGCCAGAAAGTCTCCGCGACGCACTCTTTGGCGCTTCAACCGCATCTAGGTTCACAGGTTGAGAATCGGCCTCTTGAGAATGGGGTTGACTCTCGTGCGGACTGGCGAAAAGGCTGGCCGGCCGACTTCCCGCGGAATCTGGCGAGGGCGGCCCGTGGGGGAACTCGAGTTGTGCGCCGGACTGCTCAAGGTTGGAAAATCGAGAACGGATGACTGGCCGGGGTAGCTCGGGTGACTCTTCATCCCCAAGAAGGTCAGAAGGAAGTAGTGCGTCTGCGCGAGGGCTCATCTGAGGGTTTCCAAGAGACAAGTCGGCGTATCCCCTGGTGGTATCTGACTGGCTCGGCAAACTGGGAAGGGTCATGCCATTGGTGATATTGAAGAAGGCAGAAGTTGGCCCAAAGGTTGGTGAGCTGGTGACGGGAGGATTGTAGCCGATGCCACCGGAGAAGGAAGGTTCCATAGCCGTGTAGTTCATGGGAGAGGAGACATTGCTGGCGAGCGAGCTGCGGTGCGGG